TTATTTAAAACTATTTTTGCACAACCAGCAACGTCTGTCCCATTATGTTGGACAAGAAAAATGCCAACATGATGATGACGTCCAAAACCAATACGGTATACTGCACTAAGATGTTTAGAGCTATCCAATTTCACATTATGTCTGAGACAGCAATAATTTTCTTCCAGTAAATTGCCTCCTCTGTACATACAAATCTATTTTTACTGTATAAATTGCCTCACATGAGTTGGGGAAAGCACTAATTGCATTTGAGAGCCAAACTTTGAGTCTCTTCGTTCCAAACTCGGACGGTTTCGGCCAAGGACAAGTATTATCTCTGGCTCCATAATTACTGTTGGCAATAATCTATTCATGAAATAATGAATGAATCTCCCAAGTTCATTTATATTCTGCTTTGTCATGTTTGGCAGGCAGAGAGAACAAGTCTGAATGCATTTCACATTTAAACTTCATCTTCGTCAAATTAGAGTCGCAGGCAGGGGCTTGCTTCATTGATACATGGGATATAGATCACCTTCCTCTCTCAATCTCATTCCCGGGAATGAAAATGCTGGATCTGTCTGCAAAATACACCATTGTCTGTGTTGCAAACATTTCAAGTAACCAGAGTGTGTTTTGATTTCTTACAATTTGTTAAAAAAGGGCCACAGTTTGTTTTGATTACACAGACTGCCATCATACTGTCACGTGTCGAGCCATTGAGGATTTTTTTTCACCCAATCACAACCATTCAGTATCGTGGCGCATATCATAATTGGTGCATGCACCCATGAAAGTAACATCGAAGAATGTAATTACAGTTTCTACACAGGCATCATGGCTGATTTTGTGGTGACGACGACATACACAGTAATTGGACACTAGTGCAAAATAGCAGGTATTTCTCTAGCTACGCAATTTGTTAGCTCCGGAGTCAGTTAGGATGAAGCATATGCAGGGATACTGTCACTGAATGAAATATTGCTGCATCTCTAATTGCCTTTCTCAAAGATGTTATAATTATAATCATAAAATGACCCCGGGTCTGTGCTTGTTAAATCAAGGAATGAAGTACGGTTGTATGCACAGTCCAACGTTGTCAAATGAAAATGTTTTCTCGTCATTACCTTGACCGTTAAATGACTCATAACTCTGTCTCAGTTTATGATAGTATGATGATAGAGTAGTGGAGGCACCTTTAATGGGTCGTAAAAAAAAAACTATTAACGACTGCTTTGAAGTAGCTTTTTGAAGTCTTTGGATGCCACTAGGTGGATAAAATTTTATGGATCTAAAATTTAGCTGTAGGTAACACTAGCACCCCACGTCATTAGATTCAATGTCCTCGTCACTGACTGGCCCACCACACTATCGCATCATACAGCTGTAAAAACTAACGACCTGATTCTACAACAAGCCTGTCAACCATACCACTACCAACCCCCACAACGCACATCTCCCAACACACCATCTTCTCTCCACCTGTGGCATCCCCTCCCCCTCCCATTTCATTCCCAGAGCCAGTGAGGTTTCACCTCATGATCCAACAGGCAATTTGTCTCAGCGTGAGCAGCCAATTAGGGAGGTGATGCTCACCTCCGGTGGACGCCTGCCATACACCTGGAGAGAGGAAACAGAGCTGTGACCCCCCCCCCCCCCCCCCTCCTTTACACACACACTTCCTGACTCTCACACCAGACGCCTCCTCACGGGAATCCACTTACACATTACAACACTAAGCGCCATTCATGCTTACCTCACTCGATCCCCCCTGAGGTGCCAAGGCACCCACTTACGCTGCACTGTCATGTACAGATGAGCTCCACGCTATATTTGGACTGTTTTGACAGGGAGACAGCTAGGAATCATGGGCCTAACCGACTGGAATAGAACTCTACTGTGGCGATCAGCAGGAACATCAACAACATAAAGTACAACTGGGGTGTATTAATTAGTCGCAGACCGTTGAAAAACGTTTTTGCAACAGACCAAACATTCTGGAACGGCCAGGGCTGTCTACTTAGAGCCAGGATGTTTTTCACCGGAAGTACTGTAGTACTGCTAGCTGGGTCAGGAGGAAGAGAAGGGAAGGGTGATCAAAGAGTGTTCACTGTCACCTTGTCATGTTATTGCTCACCCCAGACTTCAATCCAAGCGTCACTCAATGACTGTTATGGATGATTCTGTCTTTACTAAAGGTTTGCCGAGATGGTCTGTTAAAGGCACATGTGCCATGGTGTTGTATAGAACATGAAGAAGAATCCAGTCCAGATGCAGTCATGTACAAAAACAAGCACAATGTACTCCGGTCCACACTATCACAACTATCTGATGAATGTCGGGGAATGAAAAACACAAAGTCAACAACAGTGCCTCTGATTCTCAGACCTAGAGTTCTAATGAAGCTAACAATGCTCTTCATCTCCCACTGCTGCCTCTTCATTGGTTCAGTAAGTGAGGCATTCGTCTGGTGGCCGCGATAATGACCTTTGACACGTGCCTTGTTGATCTGATTCCATGTAGAGGTCACAGGTGTCTTCCAATTATCCTTAATCGTCCATTTAGTTTAAGGCAAAGCACAGAGGGGCAATAATCCACTTAAGAGATGAAATAATAGCAGTCTCTGGCAGTGAATCACAAAACAACCGAATAGCCTAAAGTGTAGAATTTGTGTTAGTAGTAATTTGATTGGCAAATAGAGTCTGAGACACATCGGGCGGCAGGTAGCTTAGTGGTTAAGAGCGTTGTGCCAGTAACCGAAAGGTCGCTGGTTCTAACATCTAATGCACTTTATTTTTTTCAGTTTCTGGAGGTGCCTGCAACGTTTACTCTTTGAAAGCGGTCAGCGTTCTCACTTTGATTTCTCGCTTTGCCCATGGAGTAATTGACAGTGACACACGCGGAGGTCTTTGGCCTCGGCTGTATCGTAGCTGTGAGGTGACAGCCAATAGACATGGCCTGCATGCTTGGACAGAGGCAGGCAAAAAAAAAGCAGCATCAGCACTGAACACAGAATCATCAACACTGAACAAAATATCATCAGCGCTGAACATAAAATCATCAGCATTGAACAAAAAATCATCAGCACTGCACAAAAAAAAATCTGCACTGAACAAAAAATAATCAACACTGAACAAAAAATATAACATGCAACAATTTCAACAATTTTACTGAGTCACGGTTCATATAAGGAAATCAGTCAATTTAAATAAATAAATTAGGTCCTAATCTATGGATTTCACATGACTGGGAATACAGATATGCATCTGTTGGTCATAGATACCTTTAAAAAAGTAGTGGCGTGGATCAGAAAACCAGTCAGTATCTGCTGTGGCCACCATTTGCCTCATGCAGCACGACCCATCTCCTTCACATAGAGTTGATCAGGCTGTTGATTTTGGCCTGTGGAATGTTGTCCCATTCCTCGTCAATGGCTGTGCGAAGTTGCTGTATATTGCCGGGAACTAGAACACGCCGTCGTACACATCGATCCAGAGCATCCCAAACATGCTCAATGGGTGACATGTCTGGTGAGTACTCAGGCCATGGAAGAACTGGGACATTTTCAGCTTCTAGGAATTGTGTACAGATCCTTGCGACATGGGGCTGTGCATTATCATGCTGAAACATGACGTGATGGCGGTGGATGAATGGCATGACAATGGGCCTCAGAATCTCTTCACGGTATCTCTGTGCATTCAAATTGCCATTGATAAAATGCAATTGTGTTAGTTGTCCGTATCTTATGCCTGCCCGTACCATAACCCCACCACCACCATGGGGCACTCTGTTCACATAGTTGACATCAGCAAACCACTCGACCACACAACGCCAAATACGCTGTCTGCCATGTGCCCAGTATAGTTGAAACCGAGATTCATCCGTGAAGAGCACCCTTCTCCAGCATGCCAGTGGCCATCAAAGGTGAGCATTTGCCCAATGAAGTCGGTTACGACGCCGAACTGCAGTCGTGTCAAGACCCTGGTGAGGACGATGCGCACGCAGATGAGCTTCCCTGAGACGGTTTCTGATAGTTTGTGCAGAAATTCTTAGACTCTTCAAACCCACAGTTTCATCAGCTGTCCGGTTGGATGGTCTCAGACGATCCCGCAGGTGAAGAAGCCGGATGTGGAGGTCCTGGGCTGGCGTGGTTACACGTGGTCTGCGGTTGTGAGGCAGGTTGGACGTACTGCCAAATTCTCTAAAACGACATTGGAGGGCTTATGGTAGAGAAATAAACATTAAATACTCTGGCAACAGCTCTGGTGGACATTACTGCAGTCAGCATGCCAATTACACGCAACCTCAAAACTTGAGACATCTGTGGCATTGTGTTGTGTGACAAAACTGCACATTTTAGAGTGGCCTTTTATTGTCCCCAGCACAAGGTGCACCTGTTTAATGATCATGCTGTTTAATCAGCTTCTTGATATGCCACACCTGTCAGGTGGATGGATTGATTATCTTGGCAAAGGAGAAATGCTCACTAACAAGGATGTAAATAAAAATTGAGGGAAATAGGCTTTTTGTGCTTATGGAATATTTCTAGGAGATTTTATTTCAGCTCATGAAACATGGGACCAACACTACAGGTTGTGTTTTATATTTTTTGTTCAGTATAGTTATAACACCAATCAAGGTGCCTGTTTGTTGAGTCTAGGGCTTTGCACAAGTTGCCAATTCCTTGAAATGTATAATAACCCTCTCCGACATCAATCTATCAACTGAAACGTCAACAACTGTAAGGTAAAGATCAAGCTAATTTTGGACATTTGACCGCTGCCTTTGCATGCAAGTGATGAGTCATCGGAAGTCCATACATTACACCACCGATAAATGAGCGAGATGGATGTGACATTTTCGTGGCAGGGGGCTGCAGCATTGTCAAGGTATCAAAGCTAGCAGTCCTCTGTGTACTAATCCTCCTCCCACCTCTTCCTATCTCTCTTTCCCTCTCTCTCTCTCTTCCTCTCTCGCTCTCTCTTCCTCTCCCTCCCTCCCTCAAAACATCATCCCTCCACAGTCAGACACAGAGTTCTGGGACAAGATGCAGGCAGAGTGGGAGGAGCTAGCGCGACGGAACTGGCTAACGGAGAACGAGCAGGCCCAGATCCCCTCCAGTGTGTCTCCTCACGAGAAGGTTACTATTCTCACCTTTTGACCTCTGTTATCATAGTAATGTCTGTCTAGATGCCCTGTTTAGATGCCTATCATGTTCTACTTAATGAAGGGGAAATAAAGCCTGTGAACTTGATGATCTAGAGATGATCATGTGCTGCACATACACTACATTATGTACTGATTTTAACCCGATGCGGGTCAATAGCTAGCCCAGATTGTTTCAAACCTGGCACTCATAAGCATATGCTTACTTTAGTGCAATGGGTGCTTTGATATGCTTGAGCTACTGTATATAGTCTAAATGAACGGACCTTTTTATATCAGCGAGATTGAAGCATATCTGACTTTTTGATTGATCCCAAGTTCTAAGAGGAAGAGCTGTTTCAAAACTCGAGTTCAGAACTCGGCAACAACACACCAGGGTAATTTCAGTCTGAAAATGCAGAGTTTAACATTTAACGAGACCGCAAACCCAAAGGACCTTTGTCCAGGTTTGATGTTAAGCAGAAAGCCAGAAAAGATAAATTGGTGCTGAGAGTATGCTTAAATATTCCAGTCTAGAGGACGGTCGTTCAGTGCAGCCATTTATTTGAATACAGAGAGCTGACATTGGTGATTTAAAAAATATATATATTATTGGTGACAGGGATACTACTTCCACATGGACAACCCCTACAAGGACTGGCCAAACGCGTTTGAGGAAGGTCTTCGAAAGTCCAAAGAGGGAGACCTGCCCAACGCTGTGCTGCTACTGGAGGGGGCCATCTTGCAGGACCCCCAGGACTCAGAGGTGAACAGGCACAGGGGGGGGCTGATGAGATGCAGGCACAGTAAACACACGCATTACCAGCATGACTTTCCCACAGGACCATAATGTACTGGCACCAACTGCCAATCAGCCTGTTCAGACAACACCATACAAAAAAAAAAAAAAGAACTTCACAAATCAGGGCGCGTTAAGTGGCCGACGCTGATTGCTAGTGGAGGACTGGGGTGTTCTACTGTTAGAGTTGTTTACTGCAGCAAAACTACCCAGTCTTCAACTCCAAATGAGAATTTTCAATTTGCCCAAAGTGTTGAGTAATAGCTATTTTCTCAGGTTTTTCTCTCCTGCTAATTTCATCTCAATTGTAACAGCAGCGACTTATTACCACCCCAGAGGGCATTAATAGCAACAGAACTCGGGAATCCTGTAAAATATACGTAACTGTGCCGGTTATTCCAAGGAAAGGATAATCCCACAGTGTATGGAACTAATATGATTCTAAAATTCCTGTTTAGTGGCTTATCTTTGTGCTGTGGAGACCACTGGATAGTTCGTAGATAGTTTCACCCTTATTTCCTCTCATTCAAGACTTGATTCATAGCGTTGTGCTACAAATTGAGTATCAATGTCATTGCACAAAATAAACCAGCACGCAGATTAAACTACATAGATCATATTTGTTTGTTCACAGAGACTTTAACAGACTTGTCATCTAGTCTGTTTGCGTTGCAGATTCAGCTTGAACTCATAGATGTCTAAATACACATGGTACTCGGAGGGTATGGAGATTCAAAGTTGGGTTCCCCAGCTAAAAGGTGTCCCATAACTCCCATCCACAATGCTGAACCATGACCTTTCCAGTTCGTCCCATACATGATTCATCAAGCAATAACTAAGCATGACTCATCAGGTACACTTAATGAATTTGGTTAGTTGCCAACGACTGAGAAGTCGTGACCTCAATTATCATTCGATGTCTCAGGTGAGCTGTTGCCAAAGTGGCATGTACCCTGCAATATTATCTCATTAATTGCTATTGGCTCTTTAAAACGATACAATACCAGGATGCTTCATCTGAATAGGAACTCCCAATACCAGAGGGAGGGGGAGGCTCAACAATCCTAAATTAACTTGGATGCCATAGCACTATTGTTATTTTTTTCTGTCAGGTAGCTTAGTGGTTAAGAGCGTTGTGCCAGTAACCGAAAGGTCGCTGGTTCTAATCCCTGAGCCGACTAGGTGAAAAATCTGTCGATGTGCCCTTGAGCAAGGCACTTAACCCTAATTGCTCCTGTAAGTCGCTCTGGATAAGAGCGTCTGCTAAATGACCAAAAAAAATATAATTTTTAAATGAAAGAAGACAAACCTCAAAGCGAATCACCTTGCAATTTTAATTGCAGCCATTGTATTTTGACGTGCCCTAACTTCACTTAAGACAAACCTCAGACAAAAGTTTGTATTGCAGAGACTTTTTGAGATGCATGATGCTTCCTAACTGTTGTGTTCTTTACCAACGGCAGAATCAATCTATTTACCTGGTGTGTGAGCGGTACTGAGAGCACTGACTGACAGTGAGCCATCCTATGTCTCAGAGAGAGCTGAGCTCTGCATCTAGTCCACACCGTCTCTCCTAACGAAGTCTCTCCTTAGAGAAGGTGGTAAGCCCAGGTGATGACCCTGGTGATGACTCCCCATTGTCTCCCCAGGCTTGGCAGGTGTTGGGGACCACCCAGGCCGAGAATGAGAATGAGCAGGCAGCTATCGTCTCCCTCCAGAGGTAAGGAGGTGGAACTGCACAAGGTGGTCCCATAGGCACAACACGCCAATACACTGCATGCATTTGCCACTTCTCTGTAGTTTCCAACAGCTGTCAGGTCCTTCAGGCATGTATAGCCATCTTAGATACATTTAGATAGAGGAAGTTAGATATGGTATGTAAGGTATTCAAAGCCCTGGACCTAGGCTACTACTACATGTTGTTGATTGGCTCTGTCTACAGCCATTAAATATTTTGTATTTGTATTTATTAGGGATCCCCATTAGCTGCTACCAATTCACCAGCTACTCTTCCTGCGGTCCAAACACACTAAGGCACTTACATTACGCATAAAACAAAAGATAAAACAGTACATAATCTAACGTTATTACACCACTACATATCTACAATACAAAATGTATAATACCATACCATACAACAATATTACAATGTACGTGTGTGTAGAGTGCGTGTGCCAGCGTGTGTGTGTATGCATGTGTCTGTACCTGTGTGTGTGTTTCTTCACAGTCCCCGCTGTTCCATAAGGTGCATTTTTTATCTGTTTTTTTAAATCTGCTTCTACTGCTTGCATCAGTTACTTGATGTGGAATAGAGTTCCATGTAGTCATGGCTCTATGTAGTACTGTGCACCTCCCATAGTCTGTTATTGACTTGGGGACTGTGAAGAGACCTCTGGTGGCATGTCTTGTGGGGTATGCATGGGTGTCCGAACTGTGTGCTAGTAGTTTAAACAGACAGCTCGGTGCATTCAGCTTGTCAACACTTCTTACAAAAACAAGTAGTGATAAAGTAAATCTCTCCTCCACTTTGAGCCATGAGAGATTGACATGCATATCATTAATGTTAGCTCTCCGTGTACATTTAAGGGCCAGCCATGCTACCCTGTTCTGAGCCAATTGTAATTTTCCTAAGTCCCTCTTTGTGGCACGTGACCACACGACTCAACAGTAGTCGGGGCGGCAGGTAGCCTGTCGGGTAGGAGCGTTGGGCCAGTAACCAAAAGGTTGCTGGATCGAATTCCTGAGCTGACAGATAATGCAATCCCTTTCCCACTTGGACAAGAGGAACACCTACGTGAGAATGCTATTCATCGACTACAGCTCAGCGTTCAACACCATAGTGCCCTCAAAGCTAATCACTAAGCTAAGGACCCTGGGACTAAACACCTCCGTCTGCCCTTACCGCCCTCAGGTGGTAAGGGTAGGTAACAACACATCTGCTATGCTGATCCTCAACACGGGGGCCCCTCAGGGGTGCATGCTCAGTCCCCTCCTGTACTCCCTGTTCATCCATGACTGCATGGCCAGGCCGACGACACAACAGTGGTAGGCCTGATCACCGACAGCGATGAGACAGCCTATAGGGAGGAGGTCAGAGACCTGGCCGTGTGGTGCCAGGATAACAACCTCTCCCTCAACGTGATCAAGACAAAGGAGATGATTGTGGACTACAGGAAAGAAAAGAGGACTGAGCACGCCTCCATTCTCATCGACGGGGCTGTAGTGGAACAGGTTGAGAGCTTCAAGTTCCTTGGTGTCCACATCACCAACAAACTTTCATGGTCCAAACACACCAAGACAGTCGTGAAGAGGGCACGACAAAGCCTATTCCCCCTCAGGAGACTGAAAAGATTTGGCATGGGTCCTCAGATCCTTAAAAAGTTATACAGCAGTACCATCGAGAACATGCTGACTGGTTGCATCACCGCCTGGTATGGCAACTGCTCGGCCTCCGACCGCAAGGCACTAAGGAAGGCCCTAAAAATGTTCAATGACTCCAGCCACCCTAGTCATAGACTGTTCTCTCTGCTACCGCACGGCAAGCGGTACCGGAGTGCCAAGTCTAGGTCCAAAAGGCTTCTTAAAAGCTACCCTCAAGCCATAACACTCCTGAACAGCTAATCATGGCTACCCGGGCTATTTGCATTGCTCCCCCCACCCCACCCTCACCCCCTCTTTTACGCTGCTGCTACTCTGTTTATTATCTATGCATAGTCACTTTAACTCTACGTACATATTACCTCAATTACCTCGACTAACCGGTGCCCCCGCACATTGACTCTGTACCGGTACCCCCTGTATATAGCCTCCCTACTGTTATTTTATTTTACTATCTATTTTTTACTTAACACTTTTTTTTTCTTCTTAAAACTGCATTGTTGGTTAAGGGCTTGTAAGTAAACATTTCACTGTAAGGTCTAAACCTGTTGTATTCGGCGCATGTGGCAAATGAAATGTGATTTGAAAAATCTCTCGTTCTGCTCCTGAGCAAGGCAGTTAACCCACTGTTCCCTGGGCGCTGATGACGTGGATGTCGATTAAGGCAGTCCCCCCGCACCTCTCTGATTCTGAGGGGTTGGGTTAAATGCGGAAGACACATTTCAGTTGAATGCATTCAGTTGTACAACTGACTAGGTATCCCACTTTCCCTAGTCCAGGTGCGACAAAATGAGGACCTGTGTTGTTAAGAAGGCAGAGCAGTGTTTTATTATGAACAGACTTCTCCCCATCTTCAAATCAAATCAAATCAAATGTTATTTGTCACATACACGTGTTTAGCAGATGTTATAGCGGGTGTAGCGAATTGCTTGTGCTTTTAGCTCCGACAGTGCAGTAATATCTAACAATTACACAACATATACCCAATACACACAAAAAAGTAAGGAATGGGATTTAAGAATATATACATATATGGACAAGCAATGACAGAGCGGCATGGACTAAGATACAGTAGAATATTATGGAATAGAATGCAGTGGGAATGCAGGTTTTCCTACTTACAAAGCATGTAGAGGTCTGTAATTTTTATCATAGGTACACTTCAACTGTAAGAGATGGAATCTAAAACAAAAATCCAGAAAATCACATTGTATGATTTTTAAGAAATTAATTTGCATTTTATTGCATGACATAAGTATTTGATACATCAGAAAAGCAGAACTTAATATTTGGTACAGAAACCTTTGTTTGCAATTACAGAGATCATACGTTTCCTGTAGGTCTTGACCAGGTTTGCACACACTGCAGCAGGGATTTTGGCCCACTCCTCCATACAGACCTTCTCCAGATCCTTCAGGTTTCGGGCTGTCGCTGGGCAATACGGACTTTCAGCTCCCTCCAAAGATTTTCTATTGGGTCCAGGACCTTGAGATGCATCTTACGGAGCCACTCCTTAGTTGCCCTGGCTGTGTGTTTCGGGTCGTTGTCATGCTGGAAGACCCAGCCACGACCCATCTTCAATGCTCTTACTGAGGGAAGGAGGTTGTTGGCCAAGATCTCACGATACATGGCCCCATCCATCCTCCCCTCAATACGGTGCAGTCGTCCTGTCCCCTTTGCAGAAAAGCATCCCCAAAGAATGATGTTTCCACCTCCATACTTCACAGTTGGGATGGTGTTCTTGGGGTTGTACTCATCCTTCTTCTTCCTCCAAACACGGCGAGTGGAGTTTAGACCAAAAAGCTATATTTTTGTCTCATCAGACCACATGACCTTCTCCCATTCCTCCTCTGGATCATCCAGATGGTCATTGGCAAACTTCAGACGGGCCTGGACATGCGCTGGCTTGAGCAGGGGGACCTTGCGTGCGCTGCAGGATTTTAATCCATGACGGCGTAGTGTGTTACTAATGGTTTTCTTTGAGACTGTGGTCCCAACTCTCTTCAGGTCATTGACCAGGTCCTGCCGTGTAGTTCTGGGCTGATCCCTCACCTTCCTCATGATCATTGATGCCCCACGAGGTGAGATCTTGCATGGAGCCCCAGACCGAGGGTGATTGACCGTCATCTTGAACTTCTTCCATTTTCTAATAATTGCGCCAACAGTTGTTGCCTTCTCCCCAAGCTGCTTGCCTATTGTCCTGTAGCCCATCCCAGCCTTGTGCAGGTCTACAATTTCATTCCTGATGTCCTTACACAGCTCTCTGGTCTTGGCCATTGTGGAGAGGTTGGAGTCTGTTTGATTGAGTGTGTGGACAGTTGTCTTTTATACAGGTAACGAGTTCAAACATGTGCAGTTAATACAGGTAATGAGTGGAGAACAGGAGGGCTTCTTAAAGAAAAACTAACAGGTCTGTGAGAGCCGGAATTCTTACTGGTTGGTAGGTGATCAAATACTTATGTCATGCAATAAAATGCAAATTAATTACTTAAAAATCATACAATGTGATTTTAGATTCCGTCTCTCACAGTTGAAGTGTACCTATGATAAAAATTACAGACCTCTACATGCTTTGTAAGTAGGAAAACTGCAAAATCGGCATTGTATCAAATACTTGTACTCCCCACTGTACATATGAAATGAGTAGTGCAAGATATGTAAACATTATTAAAGTGACTAGTGTTCCATTTTTTTAAGTGGCCAGTGATTTCAATAGGCAGCAGCAGCCTCTAATGTGCTTGTGATGGCTATTTAACAGTCTGATGGCCTTGAGATAGAAGCTGTTTTTCATTCTCTCTGTCCCAGCTTTGATGCACCTGTACTGACCTCGCCTTCTGGATGATAGCGGGGTGAACAGGCAGTGGCCCGGGTGGTTGATGTCCTTGATGATCTTTTTGGCCTTCCTGTGACATCGGTTGCTGTATGTGTCTTGGAGGGCGGGTAGTTTGCCCCCGGTAATGTGTTTGGCAGACCGCACCACCATCTGGAGAGCCCTGCGGTTGTGGGCGGTGTAGTTGCCGTACCAGGCGGTGATACAGCCCGACAGGATGCTCTCAATTGTGCATCTGTAAAAGTTTGTGAGGGTTTTAGGTGATAAGCCACATTTCTTCAGCCTCCTGAGGTTGAAGAGGCTCTGTTGCGCCTTCTTCACCACACTGTCTGCGTGGGTGGACCATTTCAGTTTGTTGGTGATGTGTACGCCAAGGAACTTGAAGCTTTCCACCTTCTCCACTGCGGTCCCGTCGATGTGGATAGGGGGGTTTCCTGAAGTCCACGATCATCTCCTTTGTTTTGTTGATGTTGAGTGAGAGGTTATTTTCCTGGCACCACACTCCCAGAGCCCTCACCTCCTCCCTGTAGGCGGTCTCGTCATTGTTGGTAATCAAGCCTACTACTGTTGTGTCGTCTGCAAACTTGATGATTGAGTTGGAGGCGTGCTTGGCCACGCAGTCATGGGTGAACAGGGAGTACAGGAGGGGGCTGAGCACGCACCCTTGTGGGGCCCCAGTGTTGAGGATCAGCGAAGTGGAGATGTTGTTTCCTACCTTCACCACCTGGGGGCGGCCCGTCAGGAAGTCCAGGACCCAGTTGCACAGGGCGGGGTTCAGACCCAGGGCCTCGAGCTTAATGATGAGCTTGGAGGGTACTATGGTGTTGAATGCTGAGCTATAGTCAATGAACAGCATTCTTACATAGGTATTCCTCTTGTCCAGATGGGATAGGGCAGTGTGCAGTGTGATGGCAATTGCATCGTCTGTGGATCTATTGCGGCGGTAAGCAAATTGAAGTGGGTCTAGGGTGACAGGTAAGGTAGAGGTGATATGATCCTTGACTAGTCTCTCAAAGCACTTCATGATGACAGAGGTGAGTGCTACAGGGCGATAGTCATTTAGTTCAGTTACCTTTGCTTTCTTGGGTACAGGAACAATGGTGGCTACTGTTGTATCAACATGTTTGGACCATGAGAGTTTACAATCCAGGGTTACTCCAAGCAGTTTAGTCACCTCAACTTGCTCAATTTCCACATTATTCATTACAAGATGTAGTTGAGGTTTAGGGTTTATTGAATCATTTGTCCCAAATACAATGCTTTTAGTTTTTGAAATATTTAGGCCTAACTTATTCCTTGCCACCCATTCTGAAACTAACTGCAGCTCTTTGTTAAGTGTTGCAGTCATTTCAGTCGTTGTAGTAGCTGACATGTATAGTGTTGAGTCATCCGCATACACAGACACACTGGCTTTACTCAAAGCCAGTGGCATGTCGTTAGTAAAGATTGAAAAAAGTAATGGGCCTAGACAGCTGCCTTGGGGAATTCCTGATTCTACCTGGATTATGTTGGAAAGGCTTCCATTAAAGAACACCCTCTGTGTTCTGTTAGACAGGTAACTCTTTATCCACAATATAGCAGGGGCTGTAAAGCCATAACATATGCGTTTTTCCAGCAGCAGACTATGATCGATAATGTCAAAAGCCGCACTGAAGTCTAACAAAACAGCCCCAACAATCTTTTTATCATCAATTTCTCTCAGCCAATCATCAATCATTTGTGTAAGTGCTGTGCTTGTTGAATGTCCTTCCCTATAAGCGTGCTGAAAGTTTGTCAATTTGTTTACTGTAAAATAGCATTGTATCTGGTTAAACACAATTTTTTCCAAAAGTTTACTAAGGGTTGGCAACAGGCTGATTGGTCGGCTATTTGAGCCAGTAAAGGGGGCTTTACTATTCTTGTGTAGCAGAATGACTTTTGCATACCTCCAGGCCTGAGGGCACACACTTTCTAGTAGGCTTAAATTGGAGATATGGCAAATAGGAGTGGCAATATCGTCCGCTATTATCCTCAGTAATTTTCCATTCAAGTTGTCTTTGTAATTTTTTCACGTCTTCCACACTAACTTTACAGAATTCTAAATGACGCTTGTCTTTCATAATTTGGTCAGATATACTTGGATTTGTGTAAAGATGTTTTCCTCAGAATATACAAATCAGGTCCATAATTACTTGACACCCTTGATAAAGATGAGCAAAAAAGACTGTATAAAATAAATAATTCAAATACTGAGCTATATTGTATGCTCAAAAAAGCAGAGAAATTATATTATTTTATACTAAAAAAATTGTTTAACAAGTAATCCATTATCATATATTTTTTTTTACATAGGTGTCAAAATTATTGGCAACACTGTTTCCAATACTCCGGCACCCTCCCCTTGCAAGGATAATAGCAATTAGCCTTTTTCTAAAATTAGATTGGAGAACATATTGGGAGGGATCTTAGATCATTCCTCCATACAGAATCTTTCCAGATCCTTGATATCCTTCATCTGCGCTTATGGACTGCCCTCCTCAATTCAAACCACAGGTTTTCAATGGGGTTCAAGTTCGGAGACTGAGATGGCCATTATAAAATGTTGATTTTGTGGTCAATTAACAATTTTTTGTGGATTTTAATGTGTGATTGGGGTTATTGTCTTGCTTGAAGATCCACTTGCGGCCAAGTTTCAGCCTCCTGGCAGAGGCAACCAGGTTTTGGGCTAAAATGTCCTGGTACTTGGTAAAGAATCTTTAGGGGTGCCAATAATTTTGACACATATATTTTTGCGAAAAAAAATAGTATTACTTGTTAAACAAAATCTCTTTCTAACCCTACAATGGAGAAAAATGTAAATCAAGTGTTTTGGGGTTATTTAGTTATTGGTGTTAAAACCAATGGTTTAAAACTAAATATTTTAAATGATCTTCTCAGAATGCCAGTAATCCCCTGAAATCCAGCAATATTATTAATGCCACACTGCTTCTATTTTTCATTATGTTTTAGCTGACTTTTAATGTAGGCCCATTGTTGATGTAGGCTGGATTAGAGAACTCAGAGGAAAACATCACAGTTTTACATTTTTTTGTAGCAGATTTGTATCTTAAAACGATGAACGGAGCATCTGCACTGCATACCTACCGTAAACAAACTTTATCTAACAGCCAGAGGCCTATGGCACAGTAGCAAGTCTGGCAGAAATGATTTGGTTTTCCTCTCATTACAAGCTTTTAAGGAAGTTGAAGCATTTGACTGTCAGTCTGTCACAAATCTCAGTGAAACATTATTCTTGATGAAAGCGAAATCTGTTTTTTGGCTCTTCCCTGAGTGCTCTCTAATCCTTGTTGTTCGTCCAACATAGTGCTATTTTCCTCTGATGCAACAGCAACACTACGTACAAGATAAAACATTTCCCCTGGTTAACTTTAAATGTGAACAGTAGCAACAGCAATTGCAAGTCTAAGCTCCAAAGTAGCTCCTACTAACAAATGCTTTTGAAAGCAATATGTCTGGGGTGAGTGGTCCTTGCCACCTGACCCCAGGCGTCATTATGTGCCTCCTGATGTTCCCTGTCTCAATTAGTGTATGTCAAACCCTTTGCTCCACTTTAAAGTGCTCATTAACCCCCCTTTAACCCCCTCTTGGCCTCCTCTCTCTGTATCTCCAGGTGTCTGGAGCTCATTAACCCCCCTTTAACCCCCTCTTGGCCTCCTCTCTCTGTATCTCCAGGTGTCTGGAGCTCCACCCCAACAACCTCCAGGCCCTCATGGCCCTGGCGGTGAGCCTGACCAACACGGGCATGAGGCAGGACGCCTGCGAGGCACTGCTGCGCTGGCTCCGCCACAACTCCAAGTACAAGCACCTACTGAAAGGAAAGAGCCACCTGGCGGGCTCCCCGGGCTCCCAACGTAGGATGTCTCGTGTCTCTACTGTGGGCAGATATGAGAGGTATAAGGACTGGATAGCACTAGCATAGATTCCATAGGTGTAAGTACTGGATAGCACTAGCATAGATCCCATAGGTGTAAGTATTTATTTGTATTTGTATTTATTAGGTATCCCCATTAGCTGCTGCCAAAGCAGCAGCTACTCTTCCTGGGGTCCAAACATAGTAAAGCACTTACATTACATATAAAACAAAAGATAAAACAGTACATCATATGACATTATTACACCACTACCTATCTACAATACAAAATGTTTAATACCACCATACAACAATATCACAATGCGTGCGTATGTATGTGTCTGTACGTTTTGTGTGTGTCTCTTCACAGTCCCCGCTGTTCCATAAGGTGTATTTTTACCTGTTTTCTAAATCTGATTCTACTGCTTGCATCAGTTACCTGATGTGGAATAGAGCTCCATGTAGTCATGGCTCTATGTAGTACTGTGCACCTCCCATAGTCTGTTCTGGACTTGGGGACCGTGAAGAGACCTCTGGTCTAAGTACTGGATAGCACTAGCATAGATCCCATAGGTGTAAGTAAGTGCATGCTCATTTGTAGGAGAACGTTATAGGATGACTGTACAATGTTGAGAAAGAGAAGAGATACAGGCCAGTCAGGATTACACAATTAACATTGGAGTAGCATGACGCACTACACTAAGTGGCGGGGCACCTTCATTGGACATCACTAAATCTGACATTACATGACATTTTATTTTAAGCAAATGGCTGGCACGATCTCTGTGTCCTTTACAGTCTCTTTGCCTGAGCACTGTGACAATATTACACAATGGCTGATTGATGCATATTTTATGCTATGGTGTGCTTTATGTCGCCCGCTCAGTTATGATATCTTTAGCCGGGCCGTTTTAGAAACTAATTCGTTACAGTGTAATGACTATTACCCCTGTCGTCAATGAAAGGAAAAGTTATTTCAAGGTCTTTCAACCACAGCTGGTCTGGGTGTAATTTTATTGCCGATCAAGCAAGCATGCTCGCACGTATTCATCGTCAAACAACCACAATTCAGGGGATCTCCTTCCTTTTTACTTTAAAGGCAGTACTTTCAGGTGTCACATGAAGAGAAAATAACTTTATCAATTAGGAGTCTAGCTATATAATGAATTCTCCCCTTTATAGGAAAGGCATGACTTTATCAAATATTTTACTCAAACAGTGAGAGCTCCTGAGAGCGAGAACGGAGAGAGAGAGAGAGAGAGAAGAGAGAGGATAGAGAGAGAGGACGAGGCTCGAGGAGAAGAGCGTAGACGAGTGCATAATCATAGGTACGCGCTTCGATGCTGAGATTAGAGAGCATAGCGCAATCAGATCTCCTCTCTCTCTCTCTCTATCTCTCTACTCCTCTCTCCTACTCTCTCTCGCTCTCTCTGGTCCAGTGTGTCTCTACTCTCTGTGGGCTCTAAGTCCAGTGTGTCTGCCCACAGCTCTCTACTGCCTGAGGTGAAGGATCTGTTTCTGGAGGCAGCCCAGCAGAACAGGGACACCGACCCAGACCTGCAGACGGGCCTGGGAGTGCTGTTTAACATTAGCGCAGAGTTCAACAAAGCTGTGGAGGCATTCAATGCTGCCCTGACGGTGCGGCCAGAGGTAGAGTGGCCGTGTAAACACACAAACACTGTGATTGTCAATCTGACTTTACACAAATGTGCGCGCGCACACACACACACACACACACACACACACACACTCAAGCACAGACAGCCGACTGATCAGTCATGAATCCCCACAACATGATCCTTCCCAAGACAGAGATAGAGCTCATGCAAACAGAATCACTGAGGCGCACCATACTGTCTCACATCACTGAAGCACTGCATCCCACTGAGACGCACCCCACTGTCTCACATCACTGAAGCACTGCATCCAAACTGGAGAGCTTTGAGCTGAGAAATCCAGTTTCATGAACTCCCATCTGATTCACCCTCACTGCACTAGCATCTGCCTGTTGCAGCTCCAACCCCTATCCTTTAACCCTGTCCCACAGCAGTGGGCATATGAGCACTGTCTGCTAAATCCACCCCCTCTGCATTTGACTTGGTAATGCCCTCTCCCCTGCAGACAACTTAGAGCTGAATACAAGTGGAGATCATGATACCATGCTGCTAGGCTTAGCACAAAAGGCTTGCTGCATCATATCGGGCCGTGCCCCGTGTATACGTTGATCTATCCCCAGGTGGGAGACATGTAACCAAGGAGTCAAGGACAGACGGGGTGATGTAACCGAACCATCCTCAAATGATCCTTGGAACTTAAGCCTTGCTTGGTTTTCACAGGGGTGTTTTTTCACAGGGTGATTTTTCACAGGGTGATTTCAACGGGAGATAAAAAGTATATATCACAGATTGTAAAGGCACCATCACATCACAGTACCTACATTACAGTCATTAACACACAAAAGATACAGGGGAAGAACTGGCAAATGATGTACCCCTCTCAGAAATGTTATATCGTGGTGTCGGAATTGATTCCGAACATGCCGTTATATCGCAGACAAAATTCTACTTATTTTTATTTGCAAATCTCCTCTACCAAAACAGGCACTGTTCCTTTCTGATTGGACTTCGCATTACACTACATAACAATTAGCATTAGCACGAAATACGTCACAATGCTAAACCATTGAAGTGAAGTAGCATCTGATGGGAGAGAAAAAAAACTACATCTCAGTCGACAGTGGCTGGGTTCACAGACCATGACACTGTCCGAAACCAAACATCAAAAGCAACCACTATCCTAAGTGTCACCATTCTGTTCCTCCGCCGTTGACTCCTGCCCCCCCCCTGTATGTCCCCTCCAGGACTACCTGCTGTGGAATCGCCTGGGGGCCACACTGGCTAACGGGGACCGCAGCGAGGAGGCGGTAGAGGCTTACACCCGAGCCCTGGAGCTCCAGCCGGGCTTCATTAGGTCCCGGTACAACCTGGGCATCAGCTGCATCAACCTGGGAGCACACCGGTGGGTGAGCAGGGGGTCAGGGGAGGGGTGGAGGGGGGGGTCTAACTAAGATCCAGCTGGTGCTCTTTAAAACAGCACCTGGCACCGTAGCATGGGGCTTTGAGTTTCTGCTCTGGTGGAGTCAGTGGAGTGGGGTGAGGCAGGGACACTGAGTAACATTGAGCCTAATAATGCTATCTCTTACAGTTGTGTGAAGTTCAACCACTATAATGTTACAAGTAACAACAAAGTCCCTATTTAAATGTGTCAAACACATCAGCCCTGAACCTAGTAACATTTGCTTTAATGTAAGTCATCATGATAGCAACTAATCACATGGTTCTCCGATAGTCAAACCTTCCCCTTGTCTTGTAGGGAGGCGGCCAGTAACTTCCTAACAGCCCTGAGTCTGCAGAGGAAGAGCCGCAGTCAGCAGCTCTCGCACCAGGTCATGTCGGGGAACATCTGGGCCGCCCTGCGGATAGCCCTCTCCATGATGGACCAGCCGGAGCTCTTCCAGGCGGCCAACATCGGAGACTTGGACCTTCTCATGAAAGCGTTCAACCTGGACATGTGAGTGGAGATGGGCCTTGGCGACGAGTCTCTACTCTCCTACCAACAGGCCTTGGAGAAGAGTCTCTACTCTCCTACCAAATGCCAAAAACCCAAAGTGTACAGATGGAAAGAGCTGTTTTGTCCAGTTAATGACGAGTGTGTGGTCTATTTTTGCGAGCACTAGCCTATCTTTATTACTTCTAAGTACCTCTGTGGTCTTCCTGAGTACTGCATGTGCTCCAAGAGTCTATTTTGCAATGGATTTGCACTGCAATTTGTGATTTCCCCGAAGAGCACAAGGACGGGCAAAGACTGTACAAGTAATGCCTTAGAGAACACAGTAATTAAAACTAACTCATTGGAACTGAGTGAGAGAGAATGAGAAACGCTGAGACTGCTTTTGCTGAACAGTGTTGAGGTTTGACAAGAACGGTTTCCTCATCCAAATACTTTTAGAGTCTTCGGATTATCACACCGACCTAAAGGAAGGATTTAGAAAGTAACATCAATAAAGACTACACCATAAGCCATGGGACTCTGAGACAGTTTTCAGCAGAGAATCAATATTCTTTTTTGGGCTTGGTTTTATCCTCTTTTCACTGCATGAAAACTAAAGCAGTTTATAACTGTTTTTCCTGTCTTAGACTCTGCACTTTGAAAAACAAAAACAGATAATTTCCTCTTATCTTAATGAAACAAGCCAGATTGTAAAGCCTTACTCGAAAACGCATGCTAAAACGAGATATATTTACACTATTTTTATGGCAACCAATGTAAGCCATTTTCAGATTCATTTTTGACTTCCTCGAACACTTGGCATCCTCCGAATTCTTCATGTTTTGTGGAGTTTGCAGCTCCTCATTTCACTCGTTCTATTTTCCCCTCACTGGTTTGAGAGAAGCACACATTAGCTGGACAAGATGGACCCTTATCTTTCCCTCAGAGCTGGTAATGTACTTCACACGTGTCAGAAAACACTTTCTGTTGAATCTGTTCATGTTGGTGGTGATGGCTGGGATGACCTTTTAAAACTATTCACTCATGTCACATGACTAATGACTAAATCAAAAGGATTAAGCGTGGTAGCGAATGGATTTTGAGGCATTACACTCTTTTCTAGAAGACAGCATGTGACTTGCAAACTAACATCTGTGACGCTGCTAGACTAGTCAGCCATCTTATGTGTAATATGTTTGAAGGCAGCACAAAGGCCCTTCGTAAAAAGTTATAAAAACGTCACATCAGCTCACGTCATGTTTACCTAGTTTACACAGTGATATATCAACATCTACATGTGCCCATTCAAGCGTTGTTTTATGTAGGAGGTTCTTTGCTTTACTAATGAATGTCAAACATTCCATAGTATCTACTGGTTCTACTCTAAAGTGTTAACAAAATAAGCCCAAAAAATAAAAAGCCACAAGAACTATACCCTCTTATGAGAGACTACTACTCTACAAGATCCCTACTCTGAACACTATCCCTTAAGTCGCTAGATGGCTGAGTAGTCTAGCAGCATCATTTACATTTTAGTCATTTAGCAGACGCTCTTATCCAGAGCGACTTACAGTTAGTGAATACATATTTTTTTATACTGGCCCCCCGTGGGAATCGAACCCACAACCCTGGCGTTGCAAACGCCATGCTCTATCAACTGAGCTACATCCCTGCCGGCCATTCAGTAGTCTAGCAGCATCACAGATGTTAGTTTGCAAGTCACTCTGGAAACGCATGCCATCATCGTGTCCTCCACTGTCCTGTAATGTAGCATTGCACTGGTGTGTTAACCTGTCGGGCCTACTGTATGAAGGAAGAAATGTGTTTGATTCAAGGATCCTATGCAAAAAGGTCAAGTTTTATACTGCCATTTTGAATTGTACAATGGACCTGCCTGACTCGATGCCCTTGCCTGACTCAATGCCCTTGCCTGACTCAATGCCCTTGCCTGACTCAATGGACCAAAAGGAAAACTCTCGTCTTTGCTTTGAGAGAATGCTATCAGGGTCTGGCAGAGACACCATCGCCATGACAATTAATCTTCCAGATTGTACCGCTTTGATGTCATGCATGGTTTGTATCAGCCAAGGGGATTGGTGGAAATCTATCAGAAGACAAAAAAAATACACCAAAAAAGAGTCGGGCAGTTGTTGCTTTTTGACTGTAAGAACTTTTAATTCTCCATTTAAGTTTATGGGTTTGGCCCGTCAGCAGAAATATAGAAGACGTTTTTTAGAAAGAAAGTCAATGGGCCGAATAATTCCATGGAGACGAGAACACACGGAAACTGCCATTCACACTAGCCAAATCCTTCAGGTTTTTGTAACCTTGATGTGGAAAGGAGGTTCATTTCATTTCAAACTCATCTCCACACATTCGGTTGAGGCTGGCTTGTAGAGAGTGTCGGGGGGGGGGGGGGGGGGGGGGAGTCATGTTCTCGTACTGCCGTTTGCTGAAAATTCACTTTGTCATGCCGGCATACCCCAATTCATGCTTATTGAGTGGTCCCTTTGCTGGCTAAATGTAACATAGACAAACGTAATTGAAAAACAGATCAATTTCAGTTAGTTTTGTATTGAATCTATTCCATTCAAATGATCTGAAAACGTAATGAATATTTTTTTCCCACACAGGGAAAGGGTTGGAACAGTCCACTAGCAAACACGAGGAGTCTTTGGTGTGTGGAATCACTGCTGCCATGATGTTTAAAACATCAAGGAGCCAGAGCCAACCGCAGAGACACAGCACATATGTGCATGCCACTGGCAATCTGCATAGGAGGCTAGCTTTGAAGACCAGAAACACATCGGCGGACTGTACAACGTCAAAGGCAACTGGGCCAACACGTTATGGCATCATTCCATTTGTTAATTAATTTAGTCTGTTACCCAACTACCCCAACTAGCTGATATTCCTTCAAAAACACACACTGCCCTTCACTCCCACTCGCCTCAACCCACCCAGCGAGCAAGGGTGGTTGAGCTCTAGTTGTAATGACGTCACTGCTGTCATGATTGGGTACTCCTTAGTGATTCACAGAACGACGGCTGAGAACTCCATACCGTATATTTATATGGAAAATAGTACTGAGAACAGAATTGTTTAATTCCAAAGTATATAATTTACAGAACATGTTTTCTGTCCCCATGCCTCCTAGTTGTCCTTACTGTAGTACAATAGTACAATGCTGAAACCAGGATTTACTGTACCTTGTGATTTCTTCAAAATCACTCTGATTTCTTCAAAATCACTCTGATTTCTTATGGCCTAGTAAGCCTGTACTTTTTGAACAAAAATAATGTAGTTATGTAGAAGATTAAATTATTTTTTTAACTGTTTTTGAATTATTGGCTTGCGAACTATATATATATATATATTACAGTAGAATTTATATTGATGTGTGTTGAGTTAGGATGCCTGATGACAAAGCCCATTTTGTAGAACCGTTGACCTTCTCAGGTGTGATGACCTAGCTCCACCTAGCATACTCCAAAACAACTAATTGAGGTTGATCGCATGCTAGATCTTCTATGCTTCATTTTGAATGCTCTTTTTATTTTCATGCACGCATTGCTTTTCTTTCCCCTACTTCTAAAAACAAAAATATAGCATGATGTTACATAGCAATATTTTCACAATCCACTTTTGATCGTCTACCTTTATGAAATGTAACATACCTATGTATATTGTGCACAAGATACAATAACAAAAAACATTGCAGTGAATCTGGAGAGAAACCAAGAGTAGTTCACTCAAACTGATAAATGAGTGCAGGCCTCGACCCACACACCAACTGTTTGGCTAAAGGGTTCGGACCCTTTGGCGACGGTTGTATTACTTTAAAAACGCTCTCACGCATGTGTACAACTGAACGACCACAACCTTCCCTGGTCAGTGCAATAGGCCTACAGTTTTTAGAATTGCTCTGTATCTCGTGTAGGATACATTTCTCAATTCTCACCCTTTTAAACGACCCATTGTACCATGCTGGTTTACTCTGGTTTATTTCTATAGCTGACATACAAGTATGAATAGATCTAATAATATATTGATGCAAACGACTTAAAAATGAAATACTGGAATACTTTATAGTGTACTAACAATGCATAATACTCTCCCGATGTACCTAAACACTAGTCAAGAATCAACACCTTTCAGACATATGATATGAAAGTTATCTTTTAAAATAAACTTGTAATATATTCAAAGTGTCTGTATCTTTATATTTGTTTTTGAATGTATATTTTATCATTGCATTGACTGCATGTCTACCAAGGTGTATGTATTAACCATTTTTCAATACTTTGTACTGCAGCTCTCCTTTCCAACTAAAGCATAAACATTTATAATAAAATAAAAACAGTAGTCAATTAAAATTCTACATAAATGCATGCTATTCTACTGTTTATGAAGTAAAGACCTGGAGAAGCCAAGAAATAGAACCACTTAAGGAATTGTCATCATGATGAACGCTGGCCAAGCCACGCTTGTTTCTCAGTGACAATGCACTTAAATACACAAGTGTAAATAATGTCAAGAAATGTGCAGTTTATTTAACTATCCAAACATTGCAAGTAGCCAGTACCAGCGGATATATTGTTGTGATAACCATGTATTCACATATTCCATTACAATACTGTATCCCAAACAATATTTGGATATATACATACATTACAAAAGTCTACTTTAAATAATCCCTTCAGGGAAACTGTATGCAATGAAAACTACAGAATTGGCAACAAAAAAAAATAGTAAAAACAGGTGAAGTACTATTTAGTTAAATGAAATAAGAAAATAAAAACCCACAAAAGTACAATTGTACAATCCAAAATGACTAAATGTCAACTTTTAGTGCACATGCTGACAGTACGAAGGCGTTTTGTGACACAAAAAAGGTGAACCGTTACCATTCACAACCTCGGGAGACAGAGCGAGTGGTGGAGAGGGAGAGACAGATGGGGAGCTGAGAAAAGGGCCTAGATTCAAATCAAAATCAACACCACATAGCTGCTGTTTTGGCCACGT